GGATAGTTACAAAATAATTGAGATGTTTTTTACAAATATAATATAATTTTATAGATTTGTTATTCTCTCCATAAAAAGACGTAGACAATCGGGAATTTGATCAAGTGTGACTAGTTGTTGAAACATATCCAATTTATTTATTAGTCAGGATTTGCCATGCATCAGCTAAGATCACACCTTCACGTCTGTTCAAACTGTTGGGATTCACCCATATATGTAAGGCTTCTGCAGTCAGTCTTTCTTTATATGAACCAAAACCTTTCTGTAAAACCTTAGTCTTATCAAAATCGATTTTGTGTCCCGTTTCTATCGAGTGCAGTGCAATCGCTGAGTTGTTTTCTAGCTTCTTCAAGTCTGCAGAGGTCTTTGGAACCACCTTTAGACATTGTTTATGCTCTTTCACCCTTACATTTACCTGTCTGGAAGTTTCTCCTACATATACGGCGTTACAATCCCCACAATTGATCTGGTATACACAATTTTGCTGGTTTTCTTGTTCTATTTTATCCTTAACCTTAACCAGTAATGAGCGCAAGGTGTTTGATGCACGAAAATACACTCGTATATTATGGTCGTTAAGGATTCGCTTTATTTCGTCGGATGTTTCTTTGCGGTAAGGAATCACCGCTGTACTAACCCAATTCTTAGCAACAGGTTTTCATTCATCCTTATCTTCACATTTTAAATATCTATTTATGAAGGATTTTGGATAATTATTTGATTCAAGAGTGGATTGAACCAATTTTAATTCCTTGCTAATATCTTCCTCCTCAGTAACTAGACGTTTGGCTCTATTGATCAGATTCTTGGCCACAGTTACTTTGGTGGTAAATGGATGAGCTGAATGGTAATCTAGGTATCTATCCGAATTTGTCGGCTTTCTAAAAATGTTTATTTTAAATTTTCCATCTAATTTTCTTTGTACTAAACAGTCCAGGAACGCCAACTCATTCTCATCGGATTCAACCTCTTTGGAGAACTTGATAGTTTCTGATATATTGTTTATTAAGTGAAACAGTTCATTTAACAAACTACGTTTGATTATGATGAAGGTGTCATCTACGTATCTTAACCACATCTTTGGGGGACTAGGGCATCTCATAATTGCATTTGTTTCTAATGAGTGCATAAATAGATTGGCGACTAGCGGAGATACTGGTGATCCCATAGCAATGCCTCCTGTTTGACGATAAAGAACCCCTTTAAACGTAAATAACGTGGATCGAAGACACAATTCTAATACCTTCATAATTTCGTCGGGGTTTAAAGGACAACGACAACTGAGTTCGTCATCAGTAATAAGTAAATTATGAATAATACTTAAAGAATCATTAACGGGAACATTCGTGAATAATGAATAAACATCGAAACTTGCCATTATTTCATCTTCTTCAATATTAGTCAGGTTTATTCTCCTCTTAAATTCATACGAATTCTTCACTCCATGCTCCACTTTCATTTCATATGGACTAAGAATTCGATAAATGTATTTAGAAAGTTTGTATGTTGGAGAATTAGTAAAATCCACTACTGGACGTAATGGAACATCTGATTTGTGTATTTTTGGTAAACCATAAAATCTACAGGGGCTGCAACTTTTCGGAGCCAGAGTAAACCAAAGTGATACACCGAGCTTCTCTTTTATTGACCGTAACATTTTGCTTGTTTCAGCCTTCAGTTTATTTAATGTTGCTCTTGATTTATTCGCGTTGAATTTTTCATAAGGTCCGTCATTAAGATGATCAATGGCCTTCTTTTCGTAATCTGCAGTATTCATGACAACCGTGATATTGCCTTTATCTGCTCTTGTAATTATAATCGATCTATCTTGCTGTAGTTGTTTTAATGCCAGTTGCTCGCTTTTACTTATATTCGGAGCATTTGGCTTCTGGTTCAGTAGAACTGCTGCAATTTTGTGTCTTATGACGTTTGCCTCTTCGGCTGTCACTGAATTTAACGACGGTTCAATTGCTGGAACTACTTCAAAGGCTGATAAACGCCTTTTGTTTAAGTTGAAATTAAGTCCCTTTTTAAGGAGGGATAGTTCATAATCTGATAAGTTTCTGTCAGAGAGATTGACCACCACTTTGTTCGTATCCAGAAAGTTATGACTAGACGGATTGTCAAATTGATGGTGTTTAGGATTAATGTTTACTTGAAGTAACCTGTCGAACTTTTTGATTTGTCTTCTTTTTGAAGATTGAAGATAAAATTCTTCTTTAAACTTAAATATGTTGTCAATGAGAGTCTTCATATCTGATGTAACCAATACAGATAAAATTTCATCTAAATTGGACATTCGCATACGAAATAATTCCATGTTTTTGGTTGCTCTGTGAACGCGTTCTCGTACAAAAGTTCTTGTTGCGGAATGAGCTGCTTTAATCGATCTGCTAGAGTTATCAGTTGACTTGACAGTAACGGATTTAGGATAGATATTCTGTTGCAGACAACGGAGATTGAAAATACGATGATTGTACCAATTACACATTTTCTTTGTTAGTTTAATTCGATTGCAAAATAATTCATATGAACTGTGATCAAGATTTGACCGGATAGTTGCAAAATAATTGAGCGCTGAGTGAGAAGTAGACATTTATAAAATTATATTTGTAAAATCTCAGCGAAATTGAAATGATTAATTCCAACGTTTCGTTCGGCAATCTGGTCCGAACTTCTTCAGGGAATAACAAATCTATAAAATTATTTTATATTTGTAAAAAAACATCTCAATTATTTTGCAACTATCCGGTCAAATCTTGATCACAGTTCATATGAATTATTTTGCAATCGAATTAAACTAACAAAGAAAATGTGTAATTGGTACAATCATCGTATTTTCAATCTCCGTTGTCTGCAACAGAATATCTATCCTAAATCCGTTACTGTCAAGTCAACTGATAACTCTAGCAGATCGATTAAAGCAGCTCATTCCGCAACAAGAACTTTTGTACGAGAACGCGTTCACAGAGCAACCAAAAACATGGAATTATTTCGTATGCGAATGTCCAATTTAGATGAAATTTTATCTGTATTGGTTACATCAGATATGAAGACTCTCATTGACAACATATTTAAGTTTAAAGAAGAATTTTATCTTCAATCTTCAAAAAGAAGACAAATCAAAAAGTTCGACAGGTTACTTCAACTGAATATTAATCCTAAACACCATCAATTTGACAATCCGTCTAGTCATAACTCTCTGGATACGAATAAAGTGGTGGTCAATCTCTCTGACAGAAACTTATCAGATTATGAACTATCCCTCCTTAAAAAGGGACTTAATTTCAACTTAAACAAAAGGCGTTTATCAGCCTTTGAAGTAGTTCCAGCAATTGAACCGTCGTTAAATTCAGTGACAGCCGAAGAGGCAAACGTCATAAGACACAAAATTGCAGCAGTTCTACTGAACCAGAAGCCAAATGCTCCGAATATAAGTAAAAGCGAGCAACTGGCATTAAAACAACTACAGCAAGATAGATCGATTATAATTACAAGAGCAGATAAAGGCAATATCACGGTTGTCATGAATACTGCAGATTACGAAAAGAAGGCCATTGATCATCTTAATGACGGACCTTATGAAAAATTCAACGCGAATAAATCAAGAGCAACATTAAATAAACTGAAGGCTGAAACAAGCAAAATGTTACGGTCAATAAAAGAGAAGCTCGGTGTATCACTTTGGTTTACTCTGGCTCCGAAAAGTTGCAGCCCCTGTAGATTTTATGGTTTACCAAAAATACACAAATCAGATGTTCCATTACGTCCAGTAGTGGATTTTACTAATTCTCCAACATACAAACTTTCTAAATACATTTATCGAATTCTTAGTCCATATGAAATGAAAGTGGAGCATGGAGTGAAGAATTCGTATGAATTTAAGAGGAGAATAAACTTGACTAATATTGAAGAAGATGAAATAATGGCAAGTTTCGATGTTTATTCATTATTCACGAATGTTCCCGTTAATGATTCTTTAAGTATTATTCATAATTTACTTATTACTGATGACGAACTCAGTTGTCGTTGTCCTTTAAACCCCGACGAAATTATGAAGGTATTAGAATTGTGTCTTCGATCCACGTTATTTACGTTTAAAGGGGTTCTTTATCGTCAAACAGGAGGCATTGCTATGGGATCACCAGTATCTCCGCTAGTCGCCAATCTATTTATGCACTCATTAGAAACAAATGCAATTATGAGATGCCCTAGTCCCCCAAAGATGTGGTTAAGATACGTAGATGACACCTTCATCATAATCAAACGTAGTTTGTTAAATGAACTGTTTCACTTAATAAACAATATATCAGAAACTATCAAGTTCTCCAAAGAGGTTGAATCCGATGAGAATGAGTTGGCGTTCCTGGACTGTTTAGTACAAAGAAAATTAGATGGAAAATTTAAAATAAACATTTTTAGAAAGCCGACAAATTCGGATAGATACCTAGATTACCATTCAGCTCATCCATTTACCACCACCAAAGTAACTGTGGCCAAGAATCTGATCAACAGAGCCAAACGTCTAGTTACTGAGGAGGAAGATATTAGCAAGGAATTAAAATTGGTTCAATCCACTCTTGAATCAAATAATTATCCAAAATCCTTCATAAATAGATATTTAAAATGTGAAGATAAGGATGAATGAAAACCTGTTGCTAAGAATTGGGTTAGTACAGCGGTGATTCCTTACCGCAAAGAAACATCCGACGAAATAAAGCGAATCCTTAACGACCATAATATACGAGTGTATTTTCGTGCATCAAACACCTTGCGCTCATTACTGGTTAAGGTTAAGGATAAAATAGAACAAGAAAACCAGCAAAATTGTGTATACCAGATCAATTGTGGGGATTGTAACGCCGTATATGTAGGAGAAACTTCCAGACAGGTAAATGTAAGGGTGAAAGAGCATAAACAATGTCTAAAGGTGGTTCCAAAGACCTCTGCAGACTTGAAGAAGCTAGAAAACAACTCAGCGATTGCACTGCACTCGATAGAGTATCTTAACCACGTTGTCCTATGCCGAAATATGACTTTTACAAATTAATTTCATGTATCTATACACTGATAAATATACAAATATATTGAGGAAAGTATGAACCAAATGTCAACATGTTAAGAGCATATTTGCCCGCTGGAAACAAAAAACACTCGCAGTAATGTTTGTCTACAAGGAAGATTCTGCTAGCAAATGATAAACGGTTCTGTGGACTCGCTAACCTGAATGTCAATATACCACCTGACACTAATGTTAAGGGAGTAAGAGCCATCGAACTGCTGCACTTCGGTGCCAAGTTCTATGTTGAATCCAGACAGACAGACAGACAGACAGATACGTTGTTTTGTGGTCCATTATGATAGAAAGATCTTCATCCGCCTACAGATATTTAAATTAGGAACTCTAGGTGTCAAGTCAGCTTCATGACGTTGGGAAGATTGCAACTTATTTCGAGAGCCTTTTGCTTACATGATTCACGGTTGTACATAAGGATTTCAGTTCCTGTATTGATGGGCTCAACTAATATTTACTGCACATTCATTTTTTCAATAAATTCAAAAATAGCGTCGTCCATCAGAATTATCTTAGTATGTTTTCGATGAGCAACCGGGTTTACTTTTTCTAGGCCAAACTTTTCCTTTCACATAACAATATCGGGCTGCTTTACGTCGGTTTCTTTTTCCGATGTACGGATGTTGTACAAGGTTGGAGGACTGATTCCTCAGGCGCTCTAAATTCACTTGATTGATCAAGTACCTGGGATTCTGAATCCATAACTTGGTCATTTGATTTTCTTATTGTTGTATCGGTTTGATTGGATTCGATTGTTGTTCCTGGTTTATTGCCGGATGCCGGTAAATGAACATTGTGCCACCATCGAAAACATTGTGCTGAACAAAGACGAGGGAATCGCGGGCACGCTGCGCAAACCATGGTGACTTCCGTTTCATAATGCACGCAGTTTCTCAGTTTACATGCACTACACTCCGTTGTGTCACTGATGAAACCAGTAGTAGTAGTAGTAACACCAGTTTCAAGCATACATTGACAAAGGAAGTCTATAGAGATTAACTTGTGTTTATCACTTATTGGTTTCCATGCTTCCTCTGGGGTAGAAGTACTAGTACTGGGTGTAAGAGTACCACATGTACTACTCATTTGACTGTTAGGAGGTACTGTATTATTGACTACCTGGTTTGATGGTTCACACAAATGATGATTGCTATTTATTGCCTCTCCATTTTCAATATTTTCACTGCCCATAACTTCACTGTTTTGATTTTGATCGTCATGATTTTGTTGTGCATCGATTTCTGTGTTCATACTTGTGCCTTCACTTTTCATTTTTATAACGGCTTCCAAATTTATAAGATGTCCTTTACGTCCGTATATTAAACCAACAACATGTTGTTGCAGCTCGCATGTCATGTCGAATGCACGCCGCAAGTCAAGAAAGTGCATGTCTCCGGCCAAAACATGGGCATTATGTATCGCATCAGCGTACAATTTCAGAAAGGCGCGCAGCTGGAATTGTACGCTGATGCGATACATGTTTTGGCCGGTGACATGCACTTTCTTGACTTGCGGCGTGCATTCGACATGACATGCGAGCTGCAACAACATGTTGTTGGTTTAATATACGGACGTAAAGGACATCTTATAAATTTGGAAGCCGTTATAAAAATGAAAAGTGAAGGCACAAGTATGAACACAGAAATCGATGCACAACAAAATCATGACGATCAAAATCAAAACAGTGAAGTTATGGGCAGTGAAAATATTGAAAATGGAGAGGCAATAAATAGCAATCATCATTTGTGTGAACCATCAAACCAGCTAGTCAATAATACAGTACCTCCTAACAGTCAAATGAGTAGTACATGTGGTACTCTTACACCCAGTACTAGTACTTCTACCCCAGAGGAAGCATGGAAACCAATAAGTGATAAACACAAGTTAATCTCTATAGACTTCCTTTGTCAATATATGCTTGAAACTGGTGTTACTACTACTACTACTGGTTTCATCAGTGACACAACGGAGTGTAGTGCATGTAAACTGAGAAACTGCGTGCATTATGAAACGGAAGTCACCATGGTTTGCGCAGCGTGCCCGCGATTCCCTCGTCTTTGTTCAGCACAATGTTTTCGATGGTGGCACAATGTTCATTTACCGGCATCCGGCAATAAACCAGGAACAACAATCGAATCCAATCAAACCGATACAACAATAAGGAAATCAAATGACCAAGTTATGGATTCAGAATCCCAGGTACTTGATCAATCAAGTGAATTTAGAGCGCCTGAGGAATCAGTCCTCCAACCTTGTACAACATCCGTACATCGGAAAAAGAAACCGACGTAAGGCAGCCCGATATTGTTATGTTGCTGCTGCTGCTGGATTCAACATAGAACTTGGCCCTGAAGTGCAGCAGTTCGAGTTGTCACGACGGAAGCCAAAAAACCATATTGTTATGTAATATTTACTGCCCGAATTCAAGATAATCAATGAAGGCGAATGGACAAGTTAAGCATTTCGATCTACGACGTGAAATCTTTAGACGCTGAGGGTGTCGGTGTTCACGGATAGTACGATTTACACTAACGCAAGATAATGATGTATATTTCGTATAAACGGGTATGTTTACATGGAGTGCGCGCCAACAGAATGACATCTGACGCATTGTAACCGCAAAGAGAGCATCATTTCAAATATTACGTGGAATTATAATGATAGTTTCATATTTCTTATAAACGAGTGTTTACAAGAAATGCATGCCATTTTTACAGTCACGGTCAGTTATGTTATGAATTACAATCGCAAAGTATCACGAATTGATACTTTTTCGAAAGATTAAATTGTTCGGTTATTGTACAAGCAATCACAACAGGTTCTTTTAAATGTTAAGTTGTAAGCATTCCCCTTAAGTAACCTTCAAAGTTGAGCGACAACCCGAACTTCGTTCCGTTTCTTGATGAAAGAAAGGGTCGACTGGAAACCACATATATTGGGGTAAGTACTATGCCCACACGTTTTTGAACGCTATTTCAGAAAGAGAAGAACGTGCTGGGAAGCTGCATAGTGGTTTAAATACAATTATGGATAATATATCATCGGCAGCACATTTATAAGTTGAATACAAGAGGGAGCTATAGAGTACTTGGGATGATAGTACACATTTGCAATGTTCAATGCTAACCTTATTGGTCTTACCATGGAAAACTACGACGTTTTCGATGAAAATATAGTTGTTCTCAAACACTGGTGTTGTTATATATTTTCTTCATCAAAGCAACCAGACTTCAAGCGAGCGAAGAATGCAAATGAAAAGAGTAAATTTTAGCTTTAATAAAGTCCTAAATAGTTGAGATAAAATAGAGTATAATAGGATACTAACGCAAGATCGAATACCAACAACTTCTATAGTATTCGTTCCGCGTACACCGAAGGCAAGGCAAAATACCAAAATTGACAGTCCGAATTCCGAAGTATATTTCGGGACCAAATCGTAGTGCGAGGTTGATTGCTTAAGTAGCTAGGGTTCGTGCATGAAAGTGACACGACGGCGTGGATGCTTGACTGTGAGCTTGCAGCTAAACAAGTCGACTAAAACATCCTAATGTTCAGTGATGAATGCAGTGGCTAATAATTCTGGAGAATCACCAACCGTTACACACTCTTTGTGACTAACTATATCCAATAAAGCTATATTATATTTCGAAATTACTCTTCTTGTCCACTCACACTTCTCTTTATTATATCTTTTGAACTTCGCCTAACCCTCTTCTCTTGCTTTGCGTGCTACATGTAGTGTGGCGACTTTATCTGCTGCACGTCTGTGCTAAGTTCTACGTTAAAACCAGTCAGTCACTGATGCAGTCAATCATTTTTAATCGACCTGAACAACTGGACCGCCTTAAGCACCATGGGTGTACATAGTAAATGATTTATTATTTGCTAGCATCCTTGAATGGTGAACAGATACCACTTACTTTTGAAATAAAAGAGCATATGACCACTAGTAACATCTTATAAGTTTAATTGTTTCACTAAATTTTTCTCTTTCACTTAGTTCCTAGTTAACCCCACTTCACTTCTTGAAAATAAGAAGTGATCAGTAGCGGTGGGTTTGCAAGTGATACCAGTGCTAATTCCCATGTAAGAGCTTCAGAAATTATAGGCCCATTTAATGTATGAACTTAGAGACTACACCTGTTGTTTCTTTTGCCCTTATCTATAATTTCAGACAAAAAAGCAGCACTCATGAAATTAACACCCATACAAATAAGAGTCGATCGAATTATGTCTACCTGATACAAAGGGTGAACCATAACCAACATACGAATGAAATATGAGAAAACAAGGTCGAGACTTACCACAACATCACATGGAAGGATATAAGTTACTTGGACATCATTTATAATCCACCAACTGGTCTCCTTTCCAAAAGGAATGCGGCGATATTTTATCCACAGTGGTGAGGAAATACATAAATCGACAGTTCCCGTTGTATACACTCTGTGGAGGTTGCAGCCAACAAAGTAATACATTTAAAGCATATGCATACTTCCCATCATCACGGCGACACCGCGGAATATGTCAAAATCGCAGAGTAATCAAACCCAACACGCGATGTAATTAACTAAACCCGAAAGGCAAACAAGTTGTAGTACGTATTTGAATATTTATCCATATGTCGATCATGATGACAAATCCGAATCACTACCTATACAGCGCCAATAAACCTGGATATCTATGAAATAACGAAATTATGCTGACAGTTGCATTTTAGATCCCAATGACTCATTCGATGGCAAAATTCTGCTCCTGCATGCCTCTTTCGACATTTTTGTATGGATTGGTTCGCAGTTACTCAGGTTCCAGACCGAAAAGAATCAAAAATTCACCGGTTGCTGAATTATTAATACTTCTCTGCATGTTTAACTGGATAATAACTGCTGTGGTGAGCCTTTTGCAGATTATATTGCTTAAAACATCGTTAACGGTAAACTAACTTACGTTTTTAAGCCATTTTTATACTTTTGTGAGTAGCCCACCATATCGACCGGAAATAACGCAACACTCAGTTGTTACTCTCATGTTCAACAAATTCAAACAATAATTGTGCCTAGGATTATGCCATATAAACTGTTTTAACTTATGCAGAGTGTACTTACGGTCAATATTCTATTATCTTCCCTTGTATATATACCTTTTGTTAGTGAAAAATTTTAAACATGTTTACTCCATGTGTGCAATATTATCATATTGATGATGCCTGTCAACTGGAGTCCCTCATGTGCATAAAGTGGGAATATATTATTGTAAGACGCATTTTATTGTTTTATGAGGGAATTGACTTCAAGCTTTATTTATTTTCCCAAGTATCTGTAATCCATTCAACGCATACTTGGGTTTTTTTGTTAATGCGAAGTCAATATCTCTATATTTCTTGATGTGTTCCATTGAATCACCAGTTATCCGATTTTCACCACAAACTAAAGATAAAATGACAGCAACCATGTTATTTAACCGTAATCTATGTAATCTAAATATGTAACTTAAATAATACTTATCCATGCCTATACAACTTGTGTGTCCTATATGTGTAGGAATAAATATGTACCTTATTATATTATCATTACTAACTATACTTACTAATCGTATGCGTAATTTATCGAATTGATGATGCCTGTAAACTGGCGTCCTTCATGTAAAAAAATGAGGATATACTTTATTATTATTATCTCGCATACCGATTCTAAAGTCTCGTGTAGGTCTCGCCTGTTTTGATACTAAGCCTGCATTGCCACAGTCTAGCACTGAAATGGCAGAGGCAATACCGTGTGGACATGGTACTACGCGTGCATCCATTGAAAGCCAGTTCGTGAAACACGGCAAAACAAAAAAGAAACGCTCAAGACGTCATAAGACCTCAAAAGCGTCATCTAGGAAGGAAGACGAATGTCAAATGGTCAAAACCTGATGTAGCCTAAAGTAACCCTGCAAAGGAATATAAGCAACCAAAAGCCAAACCTAAGTCCGAGGTCAGTCGGTCTAATTCTCTTATGCTTTTTAATGTACCTGTGAGCAAGGATAGCTTGCTTGAACAACGAGCCCTGTTTGATCAGGAACAGTGGTCCGATTTGTGCAATAAATTAGGTCTGAACATTAGTTCAGCGAAATTGTGCAGGTTGTACAAGGGTGTCCACACACCTCAGGGTAAGCCACCCCCAATAAGGGTTACACTGGACTCTGCTGAAGAGGCCGAAAGGATACTATTACTGGTTCGGGTACCAACCATCGACAGGACTTCTAGCATAAGGGTGAGAATTGGTAGGCCATGGGCTAACAGAAAAATGGCGAGGGAGTCACTGAAACTGATGCCTTCTGGTAGTGGGATAAATAACATTTGTTCTTATCTTATTAATA